GTCCCGATACTGCCTGGAGCGGCCCAAATCCCCAGTATTGCCCGGAGCAGCCCAAATTCCGGTGCTGCCCGGGGCAGCCCAAATCCCAGTGCTACCCAGGACAGCCCCAAGTCCTTGTGCTGCCCGGGGTGGCCCATCTGGCTCCCCAGTGCTGCCCAGGGTGACCCATCCTCCCTGGTACTGCCCAGGGCAGCCCAAATCCCAGTTCTCCCAGGACAGCCCAATTCCTGGTACTAATTGTGGTGGCCCAGCCTGGATCCCTGGTACCTACTGGGGTAGCCTGGTGCCCTGGAACTGCCCAGGGCGGCCCAATTCCCTGGCACTGCCAGGATATCCCGACCTGCCTCGTGCTTCTGCTTCCACCCAAGCAGCCCAGCCCAGTTCCCCCAGTGCCACCAGGGTCAGCGCGGCCGGGCCGGGCTCAGAGCCCAGGGCCAGGGCAGCATCGCCCGGCCGGACCCAGACCGGTGCTGGCGGTACGGCCCGGTGCGGCAGCCCAGTGCTGGGACACCCAGCTCCAAGCCCTGGCACTGCTGGCCTCACTCCCCCGTGCACAGCCCTGTGGAGAGGGAGCCAGGGGGGATGTTGGGGAACTCCTCTCCTCGCGGCTGCTCCGGGCACAGGGATTTGCAGGGAACATTGCAGGGGCTACCCTGGGTATCCCCCGCAGATCAGTGTGCCCGCTGCTTCCACCCCATGTTCCTGTGTGCCTTGGGGCACCCAAATGCTGCCTGAGCACGGTGCAAACCTGCTAATCATGCCCCTGCAAGCAGAGCAGCCCCACGGATATGTCCAGAGCGCCCCAGCAGCGAGTGTCCGGGGCCCCCCGGGCCTCCCTCCTGCCCATGCGGGCCGGGGCCCTCGGGTGCCCGGATCTACGCACAGGATCCGGGGACACGCGGGAGTCACCATGTCCCTGGGGGATTATTAATGGGGAGCCGTGGGGGCGCAGGGACAGCGGCTCCATTCTGCACCAGCTCACGTCCCTGCACTCTGGGGGCTGCAGAGGCACTCAGGGCACCCTTGGCTCTCCCGCAGCACTGCTGGGATGTTCATCCATGCAGAGCCTGGCACGGCTCCTCTGGGGCATCTCTGGGCAGCAGGATGTGCTCCGGGCGGCTGCTGGCTCCGGAGCCCCATCCCCCTGCCTGCCCGTGTGTGGGAATTGCTGGTGATGGGGGTTTCTAGCCTGGAAACAGGATATGGGTGATCACGTAGCGCCAAGGCTGTCCTGGGGCAGAGCTGGCCCCTTAGCCCCATCCCGCAGCAGAGGCTGGGGAGAAAGAGGCCTTGGGGGGAGGTTTTTGGTGATCACAGGGAAGTTCAAAGCCATCGAGCTGATTAAAGCGGATTCTTGGTGGACTCTGATCTCTCCTTGTGCTTCCCCTGTGTGGGCAGTGGGATAAACCTCCTCCGGTGGCCTCCTGCCCCGGCATCCGGAGCCCCCCCGGGATGCCAATGGGGACAGGCTGCGCTTGGCTGATCAGAGGCTGGAGACTGGGGCTGACGCCAGTCCCTGCCTCTCCCTGCTTCCTCTGGGACGGCGGTTGGCACCCGAGTGGGAATTCGGGGTGTCCTGGGCGATGCTCTTGGTTGTCTAAATACCCTTCGGTAGACAGGGCCTTGTGCCGCCTGCTCAGCACCCTGAGCCGTGGTGCCCACCAGGTCCTGTTCTTGGTGCAACCCTGGGCACTGGTGCCACCTGGGATAGGGCTGCGCTCCCAGGACAGGCGGGATGTGGAGAAGGAGGGGCCCTGGCATGTTCCCACCTTCATGGAGATCGACCAGGCAAAGCCCATGGTGCAAGAGGCCATGGATGCTGAGGCCTCCACTCCAGGGATGCTCCATCCTGAAGCTTTTCCCATATCACACCATGCAGCTGGCCTTGGCCTCCGGTACCCTCTGCTGTGGCAACTGGGAGGGAAATGCCCGTCAATGCATCCGCTAGGATGTCTGGAGCGGCCAAATGAGCCCCGCTCCGGGATGCTCCAAGCAAACAATTTGCATTATCGCAGAGTCTTGTGATTTCTGCCGAAAGTCCCTGAGGCTGCAGGGGAGGCCAGGGCCCTTGCATCACCCAGCCGAGTTTCCTCCCCGTCATGTGAGGCAGAGTGGGTGAATCAGTGAAGCGGAGAGGAAGCGAAAACAAAAACGGTGCTTGGACAAACAGAGCTGGAGAGGCCTCTGCGAAGGGCAGGAGGGAAAAGCGGCGGGTCCGTCTGCAGGAGAAGCTCCGAACCAGCGGACAGGGCTGTGCGCGGGTCCCCGTCACCCCCGGCTCGTGTCTGCAGTGACGAGCTGTGAAAGCACCGGCGGTTTCCGAGGGGCAGAAGCACCTGCCTGGTTTGCCTGGAGAAGCTGCTTCTGCAAAACATCTCCCTTGGTGACCGGACCGCCTGCCAGGGCGGGCGAGGGCACCTGCCAGCGCGTTGCCTCCTGCTGCCAGGCCCAGATCGCTGCTGCGGCGCCACCCGTCATGCTGCCCTGACGTCGGCGCCGTGGGGAGCCCCACTGCTGGGGATGGGGGCTCCAGTGCCCACGGGGTGAGCAGGGGTCCTGGGAATGTCTGCCCGGCACTGGGCAGCTCAGCTGAACCGGGATCGTGCGCCCGGGGATCCTGCACCCTGGGCACTGTGTGCCTTGGGTATCCCGCATCCTGCGCTCTGGGGATCCTATACACTGGATATCCAGCATTTTCAGGACCCTGCACCCTAGGCATGGTGTGCGCCTGGCATGGTGTGCCCTGGGGACCCTGCACCTTGGGGACCCTGTGCGCTGGGCATCACGTGTGTCCCGGGTCTCCTGCCTCCTGGGCATGCTGCACTTTGGGCATCCTGCACCCTGGGGATTCAGTACGTGATGCACTGTGTGCCCTGGGGATACCCCATGCACAAGGAAGGGGCTGAGGCTGGGGTTGAATCCGTGAATTCCCGGGCATCTTTTCACGGAAGGAGGCACACCGACCTCCCGAGCCAGCTTGCCCAGCAAGTCCAGCTCCCTTCCCTTGCCCAGAGCACCAGTTGTGTGCAGGAGCCTCCACAGGCTTTGGAGCCGCAAAAAACACGCCATTTTACCAAGAAAACCCGACTTTGACCCCAGGGCCCATTTGGTGCTCAAGCGACGCCCTCGGCGGGGCCAGGTGCTGCTGGCCGCGTGTATCCCGTGTTCTCACTTTGCCGGTTTCGCTGTTGCACAGCAGTGACGGCAGCGGGTCGGGAGCCTGGCGCGTTGCGGAGCTGCCCCCAGGCGCTCCC